CATATCTCTCCATATTCTCCACAAGAATAGAATGAGAAACATTGTCAAAAACTTTGCTAAAATTGAGGTAGAGCCTATATCCAGCACTTCCTTCACCTGCCAGATTAGTAATTCTAATTAATATTCCTGGAAAAAGGAAATGAGTTTTGTTTGGTATGTTCGATTCTGGGTGAAGCCATGCTAATTCCTTGTGATCCTTGTTTCCCTTTCCAGATGTTCACCAACCATCCCTCTAAAGAGCCATTCTAGAACTTCCCAAGGCAGAGAAGTCAAGCCCACTGGTCTCTAATTTCAGCTCAAAGGTGTCTTTTCTCTCCTGCTTTCCCTGCCCTTTTCCTCCACCATGAATTTGGATTCCAGGACTGTCTCATAGAAAGAGAAGATGGGAACAAAGCCCCAGCTTCTGGCTACCTTCAGTTTTCTTTCAAGTTGCTTCTTAGGAGGATGAAATAATAGAAAAATGGAATCTGGATGGGTGTCTAAGCTTTGAGGGTGGGGAAGGAGACTTCTGGAGGTTAAAGGGGAAAGAAATTCTGGGAAAGGTGACTTGGGGAGACTGCAGGTCGTAGGACTTGGAGTTGGAAAGTATCTTAAAGGGAGCCCAATGTAGATGAGGAAAAACATGAGGCCTAGAGAGAGGGGCTCCCTGGCATACAGTCAGTCAGTAGCAGAGCTGGGTCCTTCTCCTTGGAAGGCTTCCAAGGCAATTCTGAGGAGTCAAAATCCCATCTTGTCAGTTGGAGGGAAAATTTCACAAATATTCCCTCTGATCTTAGTTGAAATATGGCCTTGAGGAAAGGCTGTTGGGAGCTCCTGCAAGGAGGCCGGTTGATGGCATAGCAACCTGACCAAGCCAGAGCCAGAGCCTGACTGGATCAGACCCATTCTTTAGTCTGCTCTGAGTCCAAGTCAACATCAGCCACCCATTGTCCTAAATCTGACTGACCTAACACATAGCGGAGTTGCAGGAGTAGAAGGGACCAATCCCCTTTATGGTCTGTGAATTTTAATCACCAACCTTGATGGCCAGGAATGACTAAATTCAGAGCTTGATGGGATACCAGAGACCAGCTAGTCCAATATTCTCATTTTACAAATGAAGAAACTGAGGCTCGAGAAGTTTAAGTTTGCTTAGGTAGTAAGCACTAGAGGTGAGATTTGTACCTAGGTCTCCTGACTCTGAAGCCAACCTTCTTTCCACCATACTCTACTAATCCCCTTTCTTTTCTCCCCAAAGGGATGGGAGTTGGGAAAGCAATTCAGCCTGACTCCCGCTGGAGTCCCAGTGCTATCAGGACACAGAGTCCTCGGAGGATGTGCTATGGAATGCCTAGCTCAGGGGTGAGCAGAAACTTCACCTCCCCCCAGCTTTTACCTGAAGAGAAGGCCTCAGCCTCTGCCAAATGGCCAGCATCACTGCAGATGAAGCCTTGCATTTTTAATGAAACAGTAAGCCTAGGTTGCTCCTGACCATCATGCATCTCTCGCTATTAACCTAAAGCACCGTCTTCATGAATCTTCCCCTCATAGCACTTTCACAATTGAGTTTGTATTCTGCTCTATCACCAGATAGAAGGGCCAGAGCCTTTTCCTTCCCAAGTTTTCTGGGTAGGCTTTTGCTCCCTGTGAAAGCTCTAAGTGTCTAAGTGTCTAAGACGGGTCCCCCCATTGGTCCTGGCATCTTCTAATCTGACCTAGCTTCAGAGAAGTCCCCAAGGTCACCCGGGTAGAAGTGGAGATTCCAGAGGACTCCCCTGCTTTCCTGCCCCTGGCAGCTTCCGTCAGTGAAATGGAATCCCTCCCACGGGGCCTCGGGTCAGCTCTGTCTATGGTTCCTCTCTCAGAGGAGCACACTTAGATCTGTGCTGGCCTCTCTCCAACACTGGCCAGCGCTGAGGCTCATGGGCCTTCAGAGTACTGGGCACTGAGTCACCTCTGTCCTTGGCTCTAGAGAGCTCCCTGCTGCAGGAGGCTGGGGACCTTGGTGCCTGTAGTCACCAAACTCAGAAATTCATTGAGTGAGGCAGGTTCATGGGTAGGCCCAGTGGGAGTTTGGGACTGGGGTAGAGAGGACCTCAGAGGGAGAAAGCCTCGGGGGGATTAGTCAGTGCTACAATAATAAAAATGATAACAGCAATAGCAGCAGCAACAAGAGAAGTATCCCATATAATACAATAGAACACTGATCTGGGAATCAGAGGACCTGAGTTCAAGTCTTACCTTTGCCATAAGTACCTGTGTAACCTTGGACAAGTCATTTCACTTTGCTGGGCCTCAGTTTCCTCATCGATAAAAAGAACGGGCTGGACTAGAGTGTTTGGTGTTCCTTCCCATTCTAAATCAATGACTCTTAGAGCTCTCATTTTTCCAGCACTTTCAGACTGACAAAGCATTTTCCTTCCCATCACTGGGAGGATCATAAGAGCACAGATTTAGACTTGGGAGGGATATCAGATGCCACCTAATCCAGCCCCATCAAATTAGGAAGGGTGAGTATTACTATCCCTGTTCTACAGACCATAAGATCACAGGCCTCAGGTGTTTTCTAATCCAACCCTCTCATTTTCCAAATGAGGAAATTGAGGCTAACTGAGGTCATGCAGTAGGGAGCCATCAGAGTCAAAACTTGAACTCAGGTCTTCTGATTCCAAGACCAATATTTTGTCCATCACACCATGCTGCCATCGTAGCAAAGTATCCAAGGGTTCCCATCTGGCTGGGAGTGGGTCAGGGCCATTGCAAGATCTGTGGCATGTACACATTCATATGTCTTTGGTTTAGCTCTATACCCCTTGCTCTGGGGCCCAACTGGGTCTGGCTCTGATTGGCAAGTGCCTCATGTGGTCCATTGTATCTAGGCTGGCACCAACCACGCCTCACTTTACTCCCTGTATATCTCACCAGTTGCCTGGCTGACCCGCTCATATCCTCACTTCCTGATTTCCAGTTCTGGAAACATAATCCAATCAACACTGCCATTGCTACTGGAAAAGATGTACCAATCTACTTCTCTGCGGTTCCACTCGCTATTCTTGCTACTTTCCAAATTAAAAAACCTCTCCTTGGCCATCACTCCCCACAAAGTGCTGAATTTTCCTATTAGAATGTAAGCTTCTTGAGGACAGAGACACAGTTTGCTTTTGTATTTGTATTCCTGGGACTTAGCATAGCACAGCACTTGGCAAGAAGCAAACACTTAATAAATCCATCCGACCATATATCTATTTCCCCTTCCAATCTCCCAACACACACATAAGTATCTTTGGCAGCTCAGTAACCTCTTGGAATATGGGTAGGAGCATACCCGGAGCAATGGGTCATTATGTCACTGCTCCTGGATGTATTACATCAGGCCTTCCCTTGGGATAGTTAAGACACAATAATAATAATAATAATAATAATAATAATAATAATAATAATAATAATAATAATAATGATAATGATAGCTAGCATTTATACCACTGTAAGGTTTACAAAGAACTTTACAAATATTATTTCCTTCTATTCTCACAATAACCCAGTGAGGTAGGTGCTATTTTTACCTCCTTTTTACAGATGGCAAAACTGAGGCAGACAGAGTGACTTGCCCAGGGTCATCCAGTTAGTAAATTTTTGATTTGGGATTTGGATTCAGGTCTTCCTGACTCCAAGGCCAGTGCTCTAGCCCCTGAGTCATCCACACACACAAAGGCCTATCACTTTCTGAATTACCACCCTGGGAAATTGGGATATGGTTCTCTTTCCTAAGAGGCACTGTGCTTGACAGAATGACTCCTACAAACCCTTGGGAACAGTACAAATAGGAAACAGTGCTCAGTGAGACATTATTCATTTGTGGGGGGGGGTGTCTGTTTTTCTAAGGAGGGGACACTGTGTAATTCCTAGGGAAATCACTCTTGACCAGACTCCACTGAATAGACAAGACAGCATAGAGAATGAGAGCTCCTGGTTTTCTTTTAGGATCCTTTCCTACTCAGCATCAAGTAAAAGACTTCTCTTTGATTTTTAAAGCGGTTCAGAAAGTGTCCCCAACCCTGGACCCCAACACCTTTCCATCCTTTCTGCCTACTGCTCCCCTTCACCACTCCACAGTCTGGCTAAGCAGGGCTTGTCACCACCCACTTTTTCGTCTTTATTTCCCTATTACCTAGCACAGTGCCAGGCACATACTAGGTATTCAATAAATGTTTGTTGATTGATTGATTAATTGTCCCAAGATCACTTGTCACAATTCCAGTGTCTGGGATTCCCTGCCTCCTGGCCTCCCTGGCTTTCTTCAAGTCCCAGCTAAAATCCCATCTTCTACAAGACGCCTTTCTCAATCCCCCTTAATGCAAGAGACTTCTGTCTGTCATCTCCAGTTTCTCCTGTCTATATAGTAGTTGTATATATTTGCTTGCATGTTGTCTCTGCCATTAGATTGTGAGTTATTTGAGAGTGGGGTCTATTTTTTTTTTTTTTTTTTTTTTTGCCTTTCTTTGTATCCGCAGAGCTTAGCGTGGTGCCTGGCTTAATAAATGCTTGCTGACTGACTGATCAAACTGGGGAAAGGCTCAGCTACAGCTAGGATACTAAGGTAAAAACTAAAGAAAACATGACCTGAAACATCATCAAGAAGCATCATTAATTACAGCATTTTAGAGTGGAATGGACCTTAATAGATACGTGTAAGCCCAAACTGTGCCCCAAATGGAATCTTTACGAGTGGCTGTATTTGACAAGTGGCCATCCTGTCTGCTTGCAGACTTCTGATGAGGATCTAATTCTGAGGCAGCTCTTTCTATTTACGGACAGCTCTAAAGTTCAGACGCTCTTTCCGACACCCACCCTCTTGGCCACTTACCTCACTTTGCTCCCCGTTCTGCCCTCTTCCAAAAGACAATCTTTCAGATGTTTGAAGATAGTGATTCTGTCATCCCCCCCTCCCTCAACATTCACAGGTCAACTCTGATCTAGTATAAAAGTCCCTGGCCTCTCAAGGCTCCAGGGTCGGCTCTTACCATCCAGGGATAGCCAGTCGTGCTGCGAGGAAGGGAGAGTGGGCAGAGCCCGGGCTTTATATTCAAACACCACTGAGTTAGAAATGATCTGGTTGTTGAAGGCAACTTGTAGGGTCACAAGGCCAGTGTCGTGAGCTGCAAACACAAGAATGGAAAATCAGAATGAAAGGAGCTGGCACAGATCATTCAACCTAGCACCCACCCCAAATGGTCTTGGAATAACCCTCCAAGACTCATTCACCAATATCTATTCTGCCTCTACTTTGACCTTGCTCAGCTCTTCATGGAAACTACCAACTCCAGGAAGCCTTCCCTGATTGACTCTTATTCCCTAGTTCTTCTGACCCTGTCCCTCCTCCAGAACTATTTCCACTCAAGCTTTCATGGGACTTGTTTGCATGTTAGAGGATGCTGGTTGATGTCTTTTTCACTTTCAAGTCTTGGAGACCACAGTGTTCCACTGTCTTGAAAGACGTACAACCATACTGGCGAGAATATCGGCATTTAAAAGACGAGCCTTTGTTTCAGGGAGAATTTGGGGTTATTAAACAAACGAACAACTTTGTAATTTCCAGAGGGCAATGGAGAGGCATATGATAGTCTTGAGAAGACTGCAACACATTATGCAGTGCATGGCACATAGTAGGTGCTTATTAGGTGCTTGCTGATTGGTTAATTACAAGGAAGGAATCAAAGGAAGAATTGAAGTAGAAGATGCCATTGAAGAAATGAAGGCATGAAAGAGATGGGCCAGGATGCTCCAAAGAAAATATTTTAAAAAGAAGAAAAGGACCCACATGTACAAAAATATTTATATCATCTGTCTTTGTTATAGCGAGGAACTGGAAGCTAAGAGGGTGCTTATCAGTTGGGGAATGGCGGACCAAACTATGGAATAGGAGTGTAATGGAAAGCTAATGCTTTGTAAGAAATGATGAAAGGAAAAGTTTCAGATAAACTTGGGAAGACTTGCATGAAACTATGCAAAGTAAAATGAAAAGAACTGAAAGAACAATATACATGGTAACAACAACATTGCAGAAATGAAGTTTTGAAAGACTTAGGAGCTCCCATCAATGCAACGATCAGCCTTGACTCCAGAGTATCTGTGTTCCTCACCATCGGAAAGCGAGGGAGTCTGCTAAATGGGCAGAGCCAGAAATGCATTTTTGGCTCTAGCCAAAGGAGAATTTGTTCGATTAGGCATATCTTACAAAGACTTTAGTTTTCTTTTTTTTTGTCAAATTGTTGGTGGATAGGAAAGGAGAGAAAGAAAAGAAGAGAAAAAGAAAGGAAAGAAGGGCCTTGAAGCATCACCCCTCCCTCTGAGTTCTGGACATTTCTCTAAGACCATTCATTGGAGAGAAGGTGCCGACTTGCACGAGAAGACAGAATTTCCTCCCTGGGAGTTCCTCATACTGCTGAAATCATAAGTCTAGCCCCAGTCCTTTTCCATATCTTCTTGTTAAGTTCTCATTCGACTGGAATCAGGACATGGGGACTTTAGTTATGGAACAGCCTCCATGTGACCTTTGGCAAAGCCCTTTCCTTTCTGACACTTTTCTTCTTTGAAAAAGGAAGAATTTGGACAAATTGATCACGTGGTCCTTCTCTTGTTGAGCTAAAGCCCCTTCCCCTCCTTCACCCTTCTCCCACCTCTGTTTTCCCCCTACATGTCAAGGCTTCTGAGATACTCAAAGTCAGTGTCCCCTGGCCCGGGCTTTTCTTGGAGTACCGCAGAAGCCCCTTCCTTCTCTTCCTTTCCCCATTTCCTTGAATTTAGGAGGAGTTCTCTATGCCATTGAGGCTGATGGATCCAAGTTGGGGGAGGCAGGCGGTTTTTGCTTCTTCCAAAGATTAGAGCTGGAAAGGACCTTAGAGATCATTTTATTCAGCTCCCTCATCTTACAAAGGAGGAGATTGAAGCCCAGGGAGGTCAGTGACTTGCCCAAGGTCCCACAGGTAGTAAATAGTAATAATAATAATTACAGTAACAACAAGAACAATAATAATAATAATATCAATTTGTTGTTCAATTGTGTCTGACTCTCCGTGACACATTTTGGGGTTTTCTTGGCAAAGACACTGAAGTGGTTTGCCATTTTCTCCTCCAGCTCATTTTACAATGAGGAAACTGAGGCCAACAGGGTGAAGTGACTTGCCCAGGGTCACACGGCTAGTAAGTGTCTGAGGGTGGATTTGAACTCAGGTCGTCCTGATTTCAGGGCAGTGCTCTATCCACTGCATCACCTAGCTGCCCCTAATATAATATTTTTTAGCTTTGCAAAACATTTTACACACATTATCCCATTTGAACCTCACAATATCTCTTCAAGGTTTGTAGCATTCTTGTCCCCATTGTGCTGAGGGTTAAGGGTAAGTGATTTGTCTAGGCTCACACATCTAAGTGAATATCTGGGGGGATTTCCACTCAGATCTTCCTGGCTCTGACCCTACCACCCCATCCACTGAAACAGGCAGCTGCCTCCAAGGCCCAGGACTTCAGACTCAATGCTATTCCCACCATTCTATGGCACCTCCTTCTCAGGACTGGGCTTGGACCCCGTGCCTACCTACTGCTCGCCCCCTGCACCCCTGCTACTGCTCCTCAGGGGCCCAGGCTGCTCTTGCCCAGGAGGCAGCTGCTGCCTGAGGAGGGCTATTTCCACAAAGAGCAGCCCTCTCCTTTATCTCCCTTTAAACTTGATCTTCCACCTTTTCATGACCCCTGGGGAATTTTGGCTCCCTTGCAGGAAGGTTGGGCCACAAAACTGCCTTGCCCATCCTTCAAAAGGCAGCTCTGCCTCACCCCATCTGAACTCTCCTTCCGCTGTTTTCTGGCCTGTGCCTTTCATCACCATTTTATTCTTAGCTTGGTCATCTTGACTCTGTCATCTCCCTCTTGACCTTTCCATGTGATTAGGGTCTCGTTAAAGTCAGTTTACATGGGCTGTGTGTGTTTTCTGCTTCCTGAGTGGGTTTGGGAGTTGTTTGGAACAGGGCTGGGCTGTCCAACAGGGCAGGTGGACTGGACCCTGCCATCTAGACTGTCTGTGCTGTGGACACTTGAGCTGGTGTTGGCTGCAATTGACGAAAACACGGCCTGCTTGTGTTTCGCTTAACCTGCCTACCTTATTTATGGCCAACAAGTTGGTCTGCATTGACTTTGTGGGTGTTTTTGGAAGCCTTCCTGCTAGAAATGATAGTGGTCTGTTTTAGGGTCTGTCTGTTAGAGACGGGAAATCTGACTCATTTTGGTGGACTGAGCCTCAATTTCCTCATTTATAGGATGGAGAAAATTATTACCTACGAAAAATACTACTTCAAGAAAATTATTACCTATGAAAATTATTACCTATTATGTGATGGAGAAAAATGTTATAGTGTCTGCCTAAATTCTATATGATGGGACTTAAAACCAGAATTCTCTTCAGGGGCCATTCTATCCAGCCTCCTTACTTTACAGAAAGGATATTGAGTTCCAGGGAAGTGGAGTGATTTGCCCCCATCCCTCAGGCAGCAAGTGCCAGAATCTGAATGCAAACCCAGATCTAATACCTTTTCCACTATTTCCCATGGCCGCACAGGGTTGTTGGGAAGATCAAATGAGAGAGAATATGTAAGGCATTTTAGTGAGCATCATAGAAATGTTAATTACTACTACTACTACTACCACTACTACTACTACTACTACTACTACTTCTACTACTATTATTACTGTGGCTGCTGCTGTCACCGTTATCATTATGATCATGGTCTGCAATTTCAGAACTCCTAGTAAGGAAATGCTGGTTTTAGAGAGCTGCCTGGAACACCAGCAGGTCAAGTGACTTGCCTAGGGTCACACAGCCAGGATGAGTCTGAGGGGGAACTCGAACCCACATCTCCCTGACTCTGAGACTGGGTCTGACCATATCCCACATTGCCTTGTCTTCTTATCATCCCTTCATCATTATCTCAGCCAAGCCTGGATTTGGGGATTCTCAAACTGGAATGACAGACTCTCAGTTTCCTCATCTGTAAAATGAAGGGGTTAAGCTTGTCAGCCAGTCAACTAGCATTTGTTACGCATTTACTATGTACCAGGCTTGGTGCTAAGCCCTGGAGATACAAAGAAAGACAAAAGACAGTGCCTGCCCTCGAGGAACTCCCAGTCTAAACTACATGATTTCAAAGTCCCTTCCAGCTCCCCAGAGCATATAAATTCCTTCACCTTACATCTTCCTCCTCATTACTACCACAGCAGTTTGGGGGACCGAGTTTTGGAAAGAGCTGATATCTTACTCCTATCAGATGAAATAATATTTGTTAGTGCTATAGTGCCCGGCACATAGTAGGTATTTAATAAAAACTTATTTCTTTTCCTCTCCTCCCTCCACCTGCCTTGTTGTGACTTGCTCTATGTAAGCTCCTTGAGGGCAATGATTATTTATTTTTCCTTTGTATCCTTGGCATCTAGTAGAGTGCCTTGCACATAGTAGGTACCTAACAAGTGTTTATGTATTGATCGATTTTGGAAAGTTAATGGAGAAAGAGGGAGAGGGAGAGAAAGAGATAGATAGATAGATAGATAGATAGATAGAGAGAGAGAGAGAGAGAGAGAGAGAGAGACCCTCACAGCAAGGGCTGGACTGGGCATGCAGAGAAAGACAGAGACAGAGATGGTGAGAGATGGAGAGAGACAGAAAGATACAGAGAGACAGAGGGTCACACAGAGAAACAGAGAGAAGGGAAGAGAGACAGACACAGAGACAGAAACTAAGATAGAAGGACAGATACACTGAGACAGAGAGACAGAGATAGGGAGAGAAAGAGTCAGAGTCAGAAGGAGACAGAGGAGAAAAAAAAAGAGAGACAGAGACCCTCACAGCAGAGGTTGGACTGGGCATGCAGAGAGAGAGATGGAGAGATAAAGAGAGACACAGAGAGACAGAGAGAAGGGGGTAGAGAGGGGGGACACAGAGACAAAAAGAGAAGAGGAGAGGAGAGAGAGTCCAGCTGAAACCCTTTGCGTGGGTTCTTCCTCAGGACGCTCTAAGGGGCAGCAGTAGTTTAGCTAAACTCAGATTGAGGCGACCTGGCTTCTAGGATGCCAGTCCTCCACTGACTTGCTGTGTGATCTTAGATGAGTCCCT